GGTGACTTATCTTCCAAACCTAGACATTATTTGTGCAGCAGGTATTTGTTCTGAATGTCGCAGCAGTGATGGAGTTCTTTGCAGGGACTATAGTGATTGGGTTTCCCAAAGGGCGGGATACAAATAAATTTTATTATTATTATTATTATTATTATTGTGCAATTTCAACTAGTCCCCTGCTCCTGGGGTTTATTTTTCTCCCTCCAAGCGACTGATTTAACTGCCTTTGTAGTCTAGGACCATCTGTTTTTTGGATTCCTGATCCCAGTAGAATCATAGAACTGGGAGAGACCATAACGGTCATCTATCCAAACCCATTCTGCCATGCAGGAATACACCATCAAAGGAATCCCGGCAGATGGCCATCCAGCCTCCGTTTAAAAGACTCCAAAGAAGGAGACTCCATCACCCCCTGAGGGAGCGTTTTCCACTGTTGAACAGCTCTTACATCAGAATGTTCCTCCTAATATTGAGGTAGAATCGCTTTTCCTATACCTTGAACTCATTGTTTTGGGTCCTGTTCCCTGGAGCAACAAACAAGCTTGCTCCATCCTCTGCATGACATCCCTTCAAATAAACATGGCTATCATATCACCTCTTAACCTTCTCTTGTCCAGGCTAGACATACCCAGCTCCCTAAGTCGTTCCTCATAGGGCTTCATGGTTTCCAGACCCTTCACCATTTTGGTTACCCTCCTCTGGACACTCTCCAGTTTCTCAGCATCCTTTTTGAATTGTGGTGCCCAGAACTGGACACAGTATTCCAGGTGAGGTCTGACCAAAGCAGAATAGAGTGGCACTATTACTTCCCTTGATCTAGCTTCTATACTTCTATTAATGCAGCCTAGAATCACATTGGCCTTTTTAGCTGCCGCAGCACACTGTTGACTCATGTTCAACTTGTGGTCCACTAGTCCATCCAGTCCAACTCCATTCTGCTATACAGGAATACACAATCAAAGCCCTCTCTGTGACAGATGACCATCCAGCCTCTGTTTGAAGGAGACTCCATTACACTCCAAGGTAGCATCTTCCCTTCAAATACAGGGCTATCATATCACCTCTTAACCTTCTCTTCTCCAGGCTAGACATACCCAGCTCCCTAACTCTCTTCTCGTAGGGCTTCATGGTTTCCAGACTCTTCACCATTTTGGTTACCCTCCTTTGGACACGCTCCAGTTTTTCAACATCCTTTTTGAATTTTGATGCCCAGAACTGGACACAGGATTATTCCGGGTGAGGACTGACCAAAGAAAAATAAAGTGGCACTATTACTTCCCTTGATCAAGGCACTATATTTCTATTGATGCCCTTAGGATCAGATGGACTTCTTCAGCTGCTGCATCACACTGGGGACTATCTACTAATTTTCTGCATTACTGAACATATCTCAGAAAAGTGGACTGTAAATTTAGGAAGCATGTACTACAATGCACTTGTCTTTGGGTTTTTTTCCTGGGGCTGAGAGAGTGTGACTCGCCCGTAGTCACCCATCTTGATTGGCATTCTCGGTGGCTGCTCTCAGATTTTGTAATTCCCTTCCTAAGAAGGTTAGGATGGCTATCTCCTTGGTCTCCATCCACCACCAAGTGAAAACCTTCCTATTCCGTGACATTTTTAGGAATTGACTGTGATGGGCTTTTCATGGTATGCGGTTGGTTCATTTTTATATGGTCATTTAATGAATTTTAAAGGGTTTTAACTCTATGGGTAGTTGATTTGTTTTTAAAATAAACTTGTGTGCATGCGCACATACATATGCATGCTAATAATTTTGTATGGTTTTAAAATCTGCTGTTTGGGTAAAAAGGCAGGATATAAATCTATCATCATCATCATCATCATCATCATCATTTATTTATATAGTGCCATCAATGTATAGGGCATTTTACAGTAAAACAGCCAGAAAGAATTGAGTCCTGCCAAAAACATATAGTCTAAAATATATGCATATACACGCAGAGGGAAGGAAGGAATATAATAAAACGTTAAATATAACAATATCAAACTAGTCCTGGTCCACCCAAAATGTGTCTCCTACCCCTGCCATCAATTTCATTGGCATTTCAGTTGGGATGACCATACATCCTCTTTTTCAGGACACATCCTACATTTCAACCTTCTGCCCAGGAGGAATTCCAAAATGCCTTTCATTCTGAGCATGACAAAGGAGCATGAATTTACATCTATCTCTCTTAGTATTTTCTAGCCTTTATTTTGGAGTGTCCTGCATTTTTTTTTCTTCTTGATGGTCCTCCATTTTGTAGTGCCTTGTCCTCCTTTGCAGTTGTGACATCTGTGCCAAAATGCAATGGGATGCTTGGGGCTCTATGCAGGGGGACCAGATGTCCTCCTTTTCCAGGACATGCCTTACATTTCAGCCTTCTGTCCAAGAGGATTTCCAAAAGGTCCTCCATTTTTGAGCATCACTGAGAGTCATGAATTTAGATTTATATAGGTGTGTGTGTGGTTTTTTTAAAGCTTTCATTTGTTCGCATTGTGCATTTTTCTTGCACGCTGTACATTTTGCGGCGCACTGTCCTCCTTTGTGGTTGTGACATCTGGTTGCCCTGATTTCGGCTTCCGTTCTGTGACCGGGATTTTTGAAGCAATTCTTCCAAATCCTCTTCATTTCCTTTTATGTCTCCATCCAAAATGCCAGAGAGGGTTTTTCGCTTGCGTCTGCTTCCTCTCCAAATAATTGCATTGTTTTCTTCTCTTGCAGCATTCTCTCTTCCTCAAATTCCACCTTTTCCATGGCCTTTTCTCAAGACCTGCAGGGCAATGGCACACCTGGCGGGATGCAAACAGTGGATCCCCTCAAGAAATCTGGATTGGACCCTCCATCTCATATTTCATCACTTTCTCATACCATCTTCTACATAACTAACCTTCAACACCCTTTCCTACCAACCAAGCCAATTTACTACATATATATATATATACACACACACACACACACACACACACAGAGATATATATGTATATATGTATATATACACACACATATATACATATATATATATATATATATATATATATATATATACACACACACACACGTATATATACATACGTATATACACACACACACACACATATATAGACAAAATAACTACAGTTACATACTAACACAAAAAACCCCAAGACTTCCTAGCTACCGCTTCTCTTATTAAAATATATAGTGACTTCTTATAAATTCTTTACCTAAACCTTTATTGACTAAGCCTAATATAATAAATCTTATCTTTCATACCTTGCCTTCTTCACTTTCCCTTCCCACTTAGAGATAGAGAAAGGAAAGATAAAATAGAAGATAGGAAAAGGAAGGAATCGTTTGAAAGTGTGTAAGGAAGAGTTTGGGGATAAAGATTTGAAGGGATAAGTAGGGAGACTTTTTTTTTTTTTGCTAAGGAAGATTGATATTAGTAGGAAAGAATGAATGGGGAAAGGAAGAGTGTTAATAATTTCTAATTATTTTAAAGATTATAGCTTGTGTTGTTTGTACTGTATGGTAATATATGGTTTTGTTTCCTTTAATTTTTTTCATTTTTTTCCTGTTTTTCTTTGGTTTTCGTGATTGTTGCTTGTAGTTTGTTGTCTGTGTAGTTGTTATTGTCATTTTGTTCGATAAAAGTTAAAAAAAAAAAAGTAAAAAAAAAAAGAAAGAAATCTGGATTGGGACCACTCCTTTCCAACTTGTCCCTCCATGATCTGGAGTTCGGGATGGGTCTCTTTGCTACGATCAACTTGCCTTTGGACCCTCAAATGATTTTGGGGTTTGTTAGAGAACCATTGTGGCATAGTGGTTTGACTGATGGATTGAGTCTCTGGAGACCAGGGTCCGAGTTCCAGCTCAACCACCATACCAACATTTAAAATAGAATTAAACTATTAATACAATAAAAAGCAGCATGGTGTACTGCGTTGGAGTTGCTGTTGGGTGCCTCCAAGTCATTTTTGGCAGCCCTAAGGCGAACCTATTGCAGGGTTATTGTGGCAGGTTTTTTCAGAGAGGGTTTGCCATTGACCTCTGAGGCTGAGAGTGTGTGACTTGCCCAAGGTCACCCAGTGGGGTTTTTATGCCTGAGCAGGGAATCGAACCCTGGATCTCCAGAGTTGTAGTCCAACATTCAAACCACAACATCATGTTGGCTCTCACCCTTTTACTACACTATTTAATATAATGGGACTTGGGGATCCACAGATTTTGATATCCACAAGGGATCCTGGAACCAAACCCCAGCGGATGCTGAAGGTCCACTTTACCTAGTATTCGTTGCCGGTCTCCCATCCAAGCACTAACCAGGGCTGTGACCTTACCTAGCCTCCAAGTTCAGAAGGGATCTAGTTGCAAGGGGGAGATAATTTATTTCTCAAATTTTCCAGGTCTCAAGCCAATGCATCATACTGGCTATAAGATTTGTCCAGGGCGGTGTTTGCCATTGCTTTCCTCTGAGGCTGAGAGAGTGTTGCCTGCCCAAGGTCATCCAGCAGATTTCCATGGCTGAGCAGGGAACCTCTTTTTTAAAAAATGTTTTTAAATTGTATTTTATTTTTAAACAAATGATCTGTTTTAATATTGTAATAGTTTAATTCCATTTTGACTGTTGCTTTTGTAAGTTTTTAATGGTACTGTGTTTTTAGACTGTAAGCCGCTTTGAGTTCCTATTTTGGGGGAAAAGCAGGGTTCAAAAATATAATAAATATAACAACAACAACAGCAACAGCAACCACTTTCCCACTTGTTGCTTCTTTGTTCCTCATCTTTGCAGCAAGGATGACAAATTTCTAAGTCTATTTTTCAGCCTGTTATTGTTGTTGTTCTTATATTTATATTTATTTGTATCCTGCATCCCCCCCCAAAAAATGGGATACAAAGCAGCTTGCAGTTTAAAAGCACTGCACAATTAAAAACTTGCAAAATTGACAATCAAAATAGACTCAAACAATTACAATATTAAAACAGACCATTGGCTTAAAAACAGAATACAATTAAAAAGGATAGAAGCACTTTCAAAACCATACACTTTAAAACAGTACAACACCCCCAAGACGTTGTTATTGTGGACACATTGGTTTGCAGCAAGAGTTAAATCAAAATGGTGATAATGTTTGGAAGAAAGTCTTTGCAGCTAACAGCACAGTATGAGCTATGGAGTGTTATGAGGGTGTGTTTTTAAAAATATTGCTCTACAACATACAATTATCGTGACATTTTATGAAAGCTTGGCGAGGAAAAATGCAGGAAACATCAGCAGAACAGCGGGATCGAAGGAACGAACGTTCGCCATCCATCTGAAGGGTGAAATTGGCTTCTGGGTTGGTGGCATAGAAATGCCTCAAAGAAATAAGCATTTCATAACATATTCCAAAATATAATAATAAAATAAATCAGACTCAACAAGACTGTGCGGGAATAGCGCCTGTACTTGGGAGGGGATTTCACTAAGGGCATTATCACGCAACGATATATATAGCACAAACAAACTGGTAAAATAGCGCTCTTCGAGTAGATGAAAGATGCTGTTTTGAGAAGATCGAGCGATATTGCACACTTGCGAAAGTAGTGGAATAAAAATGGTGCAATAATGCTTTCTAGAATTACCGCACAACTAACGGTAGTACCACCCAATCTCTTGCACGTCATTTCGCACATGCGCTCACGTGTTAAACAGTTTTCTTGTTTTGTGAGGATGGAAAAACACGATTTCACCGGCATCGCGCAATGATCGTGATATCGCTATTGTGACAGATGAATTGCCGCACACTTGAAAAATGGTCAATGGGAAGCAGCATCTCAGCAATTCACAGTTTCATGCTGTGAATGGAATGTGCAGTTTCGATAACACAAGTCCAGCGATACACCCATGAGAGAAACACGCTCTTATGCGACAGAAACAAAGCAATAATAGATTTGGCACCGTTTGTTTGTGCCGTACGTCATGGCGTGATAGAGCCCTAAGAGAAATGAGCCTTGCAACCCGAAAGGATGGCTATGAAGGTATTGCAAATAGAGGAGTTGGAGGAGGAAGGGAGTAATGAAAAATGAAATTGGAATAAATGCAAAATGAACAATGTGTGTCACTGGAATATTGAGAGCCGGCAGGTGTGGTATTGCATGCTGCTGTTAAGTCCCTCGGATGAAGAATTGCTTATAAATGGAATGAATCAGAACAATGAAAAAGGAATCTCTTCAGAAATCAAGCTGTGGTGACTCTGGTGGAATTAAAATAGGAATCCTTACTTTTGCCTCTGTGGTTAGGCATCTGTTTTTGTGTTTGAATTCTGTCTTGTCAGCTTCCTTCAAGCCAGTCCTATTGGTGCACTCTTTCCTAATCTGATGCACTCCTGACATATTGGACTGCAACTCCCATGCGTTAGATTGGAGAGAGCTGTTCTCAGAACTTTTGTTCCTGAATAGGCATACAATAAAAACAATTTAAGACAATACAGTTGGCCCTCCATGTCCACAGATTTTTTATCCACGGATTTGAGCATCCATGGATTGAAAATATTCCAAAAAATATATAAATTCCGAAAAGCAAACCTTGCATTTTCTATTTTATATAAGGGACACCACTTTACTGTGCCATTGTATATAATAGGACTTGAGCATTTTGGTATCCACGGGGGCCCCTTCACCCAAACTCTAGTGGATACCAAAGGTCCACTGTAAATAAATATCAATAGTGATAATTTTAAAAGGATAAAAATAATTCAGATCAGTAATAATAACAACAATAACAACTCTCCCCACGATAGAGGCGGGGAACAACAACAATTAACAGACAAACATCAGTTAAAAAGACATCAATTAAAACATATCAGGTTAAAAGGACAAAGAAGATGTACACATATTAAAACAATCTACATTTAAAATTCATCATTTAAAAATTCAATTTAAAAATCATCTGAATAAGCCTGCCAGAAGAGACTGGTCTTTAACGGTCTTTTAAATTTGGACAACGTATTCAGCTGTTGAATCTCTTCCGGCAGGTCATTCCACAATCTAGGGGCGGCTGAAGAAAAAGTCCTCTGGCTGACTAGAGTAAATGTCCACCAAAGAACCTGAGTGTATGGGGGAGATTATATAGGAGGAGGCGATCCCGTAGGTAACCTGGGCCCAAAATTATCACTTATCATTTATCATTTGTCACTTTCGTTGTTGCATTTTTGACTTGTGGTGAGTTTACGGTGAACCTATCAATGGATTTTCTTGGCAAGCTTCTTCAGAGGGGGTTTACCATTGCCATCCTCTGAGGTTGTGAGAGAGAAACTTGCCCAAATCCGCCCGGATTGGGTTACCATTGGGCGGTATATAAATAAATTTTATTATTATTATTATTTATTTTATTAAAGTCACCCAGTGGGGAATCGGACAAAGAGACATTTTAAAATCAGTTGAACCCATTTAAAATAATATGAACCAGAACACATATATAAATTGGGTAATAATAATAATAATAATTAATACCCCGCCCCTCTGCATAACAATCGGGGTGGCTTCCAACATAAAATACAATACAATAAAATCAATCCCAACCCAACTTTCCCATCCCTTAAAAAAATTATTAAGCAATTCTCCATTAAAACAGAATTTAAAATTTACGCCAATGCCAGCAATTTACAATAACAGATCAATAGCAGATCAACAGAGATAATTTCAAGTAGGCCCTGAATGCTTGAATAAAAAGTTGTGTTTTCACTTGATGCGGGGACAACACTAGCATTGGCTCCATTGGGCATCATGGGGGCAGGTATTCCATAACTGGAGTGCCATAGCAGAGAAGGTCCTCATCTATGATTTTCCTATAATGTGGGGCAACAGTGGGATGCAGAGGAGGACTCCACCAACAGATCTCAATTGTTTGGAGAGGCATTCCTTCAAATGTTGAGTTCGTGTACCATTTTGAGCTTTAAGTGTTATCACAATGTAGACTGGATGATGCATACTGGCAACCAGCTAGTTGTTGTTAACTGCTGTCAAGTCAACTTTGACTGATGATGGCCCTATGGATGAGAGATCTCCAAGTCACCCTTGTGAACAATCTTGGAAACTTAGGGATGTGGCTTCCTTGACTGAGTCTATCCCTCTCCAATATGGTCCTCCCTTTTTCCTCCCGCCTCCCAGCTTACCAAACATTTTTGTCTTTTCTAGGGAGTCATGTCTTGTCATGATGTGTCCAAAGTACCACAATCTCACTTTAGGCATGTTGGCTTTGAGGGAGAGCTTAGGCTTCATTTGCCCTTGATAAAGTTGACTTTGACTTATGGCGACCCTATGAATGAAAGACCTCCAAGTCACCCTGTTGTCGGCAGTCCAGTTCCGGTCTTGCAAATTCAATGTCGTGGCATCCTTGATGGAGTATCCATCTTAATGCAATCTTCATCTTTTCTTACTGCCTTCCAACTTACCAACCAATGGTCCTTTCTAGTGAAGCATGTCTTCTCATGATACGTCCAAAGTATGACAGTCTCAGTTAACCATCTTCGTTTCTAGAGAGAGTTTAGGCTTGATTTGTTTTTCTTGTTGAGCATCTTCAAGTCGTTTCTGACTTACGGTGACCTTAATGCAAAACTATCCCAGGGGTTTCCGGGGCCGAGAAAGTGTGACTCGCCCAAGTTCACCCAATGGGTTTCCATTCCTGAGCAGGGAACTGAATCCTAATCTTCAGAGTCCTAGTCCTATGGTCAGACCACTACATTGTGCTGACTCTCAGACCCATTTACAGTCGTCCCCCCACATTTGCTGGAGTTTGGGTGAAAGACTTTTGTGAATGTAGACAAAAAGGCAAATAAAAGAACATTATTCTTTTTACCCAAGGGAACACTTCTCTAGGAATTTCCAGGTCATCCAGTGCAACTGTATGGTCAACGTCTGCCTGAAATTGACTAGGATTTACAAATGCCTAGGAACTTCTAGGTTCTCCAATACACCACTATTATCAAATTCCAGCAGAGTTGTGTTGGAGGACCTAGAAATTCGTAGAGAGAAAATATTAATCAAATCCACAAATAATCAAAGCCGAATGTATTTGCTGTTTTAGCAGTCCAGGGCATCTGCAGAATTCTCCTTTACCCGTACTGTTCCTTAAAAATGGATGTTATATGGTTTCTGTATGGCAGGGGTAGGCAACCTAAGGCCTGGGGGCCGCATGCGGCCCCCCGAGGCCTTTGGACTGGCCCCAGGCCGGTCCTGCCGCTGCTGCCGACCGCCATGATGATATTGATTATTGTTGTTATTACTTGTACTTGGGGTTTTCTTGGCAAAATCTCCACAGGGGTTTTGCCATGGCTTTTCTGGGGCTGAGAGAGTGTGCATGCATATTTTAAAAAAAAAATTAAATTTTAAAATTTTTATTTATTTATTTATTTATTTATTTATTTTTGGTGCTTCGGTCCCCCAATTGTCTGAGGGACAGCAACCTGGCCCCCGGCTCAAAAAAGTTGCCTACCCCTGGTGTATGGTTTTCCAGTTGGCGATCTAATCCTGCATTTTGCACTTGTTGCAATTTCAGAGTCATCTTAAAGAGAGTTTTATGCAGAGGGCATCAAAGCAGTTTAACTGGGAAGTCATCAGTGCATAGGTTACTGTGGCTACGGCTGCATCCACACTGCAGAAATAACCTGGTTTGACACCACTTTAACTGCCATTGTTCAGTGTTATGGAATTCTGGGAATTGTAGTTTGTTGTGGCCCCAGAGCAGAGCCAATTCCAATTCCAGTTGCTCTGTTGTTGCTTATTTGTTGAAGGTTCGTTCCAAGTCCCAAAGAGGCGATGTGTCCTCATTCTGGGTTGTGGATTCTGGACTGTAGCATCCTTTGACCTGCCAATGTCTGTGTGACTGTGTATGCACATGCATGTGTGTTTCCCAAAAAGTTATTTTGAGGGGCTACAGTTTCCTAAAAAAGAAATTAAATGGTTGTGTAGGAGCCAGTGTGGTGTACTGGTTGTGGGTTGAACTGGGACTCTGGGAGAACAGGGTTCAAATCCCCAATCAATTATGGAAACCCATTAGGTCAGCCTGGACGTGGTCTTGGGCAAGTCACATTCTCTCAGCCTCAGAGGAAGCAAAGGCATTCCTCCTCTGAATGAATATTGCTGAGAAAACCATGCAGTAGGTTCACCTTAGTCGCCATAAATCGGAAAGGACTTGAAGGCACCCAACAGCAACAAGGTGAAATGGAGTTCACAAGCACACAGGTAACAAAATCCCTTATCCTCCCTGGGACGAAAACTTGCCAAAGTTTAACCCAAATTCTTGCCAGTTTGCTTTTTGCTGAAGGATTCTCACAGATTGAGAGTGAAATGATCTCCTTGCCCCCAGATTGCTAAAAGAAAAGATGGGAGAGAAAGAGGTGTCGGGTTTTCCTAGCTCACTTGCTCTGCCACTTCTCAGCTTTTGTGGGTTTTCCCCTCTTTGCCGTTCCAGTGTGTTGCTGCACAATACATAAGAAGCGCTGACCTACTTCAGGAATTTGTACAAGTGTTGCTTCTCCCTCATTACGGTGCTTTTTCTCTCCCTATCCGTCAATCCAACGGAAGGAAAAGTGGGTTAGGGTTTGAGGTTTTGATGCAAAGGTGTATTGATCGCAGAAACATAATTTGGTGCCGGGAAAAACCTCCTGATTTAATATTTCATGGGAAACCAGGATAGAAATACAGTCATAGGATCATCAGAATTGAAAGAGGGACCCCGAGGGACATCTAGTTCAACCCTCTGCCAAGCAGGAATACATAACTAAAAGATGGCCATCCAACCTCTTTTTAAGGACCCTCAGTCCCATGGTCAAGCAGAAATTAATGTTACATTAACCTTTAGGGAAAAATCTCCTTTCTTGTCATTTGAATCCCTGGGTTCATATACAGTGATCCCTCCACATTTGCTGGGGTTAGATAGAGGTGAAGGACCTCCGTGAATGTGGAAAAACCGCAAATAAAAAAACCATTATTCTTTTTACCTAACAGAACACCTCTCTAGGAATCGCCAGGTCCTCCAGTGCAATGCTGTGGTCAACATCTGCCAGATGTTGATTGTCAAATCATGCTGGGGGACCTACAAACGCCTAGAGAAG